GGTAATTCATGTAGTTATAGTCATTCTGTTTCTGTGTGTTGTGTATCAAAATTAACTTGGCATAATAGACTTGGTCATCCTTCTGATCAAGCCCTAGGATCTCTAAGAACTCAATTAAATTTTGGTAATGAAGTACTGCCACCCTGTGATGTATGTCATAAGGCTAAGCAAACTCGGGAGTCATTTCCTGCTAGTCAACATGTTACTACTAAACTGGGTGAGTTAATACATTTGGATGTTTGGGGACCTTATAGAGTGACAACCTCAGAAGGATTTAGGTATTTTTTAACCATAGTTGATGATTATTCTAGAGCTACATGGGTTTATTTGTTGAAATCAAAAGATGAAGTTTATGGTTGTGTTCTTGTTTTCTTTAATATTTTGTTTAATCAATTTGGAGTTAAAATTAAAACAGTCAGGTCAGACAATGGAACTGAGTTTTTGAATTTTAAAATGAGACAATTGTTTGAATCTAAAGGTATTTTGCATCAAACTTCATGTGTTCACACTCCACAACAAAATGGAGTGGTTGAAAGAAAACATAGACATATTCTTAATGTTGCTAGGTCTTTGATGTTTCAATCTGGGTTACCTTTAAAATTTTGGGGAGAGGCAATCCTAACTGCTGTTTTTTTAATTAATAGAACTCCTACATCTGTTTTACATGGTTCTTCTCCTTATGAGTTGGTTTATAAAACTGCTCCTGTTTTTGATAAACTTAGGGTTTTTGGTTGTTTATGTTTTGCAACAAAGTTAAATAATTCTGACAAGTTTTCTGAAAGAGCTGATAAGTGTATATTTCTTGGTTATGATTTTGATAAAAAAAGGTTATAAAGTGTTAAGTCTTGATACAAATCTTATTTTTGTTTCCAGGGATATAAAATTCTATGAGTCTGTTTTTCCTTTCAAGCTAAAGCATTCATCTTTAACAGATAAATCTAATGTTTTTTTGAATGATCCTTTTTCCTATGATAAGTCAATATCTTCTAGTTTTTTACTAGACAATACTAATTTAGATGAATTGAGAGGTGCCCATCAGTTGAGTGGTGTTGATGCAGACCATAACTTGGATGAGACTTTTTCTTTTGATGTCAGCAACCAGTCTGGTGAGGCAGATGTGCCCTCATCTGATGAGGTGGTTCCAAATTCTTCTTTATTGACTGAGGAAAATGTTTTAATTAATACTAGTCCTTCTGAAGAACAGTCCTCTAGGGTCACAAGGTCCGGACGTAGTGTTCATATGCCTCTTAGATTTAATGATTATGTTGTGGAAGGAAAACATAAATATGGTATAGAAAGATCTGTCAATTACTCAGCTTTAAATTCTGAAAATTATTGCTTTGTTGCTAATCTTAATAAAACAGTAGAACCTAAAACTTACAGTGAAGCAGTTTTAGATCCTAAATGGATAAAAGCAATGAATGAAGAAATGGAAGCTCTATATAGGAATAATACTTGGGAAATTGTAGATCTTCCCAAGGGAAGAAAAGCTATTGGTTGTCGTTGGATTTATAAAATTAAATATAAGTCAAATGGAGAAATTGAAAGGTATAAAGCTAGGTTAGTTGCTAAAGGGTACAGTCAAAGAGAAGGTATAGATTATGAGGAAACTTTCTCTCCTGTTGCTAAAATTGTTATTGTCAGAATTTGTTTAACTTTAGCTATTCATCATGCATGGCCTTTATATCAATTGGATATAAATAATGCATTTTTATATGGTGATTTGTCTGAAAATGTTTACATGCAACTTCCTGAAGGATATCATTCAAAAAAAGATAATAGAGTTTGTAGGTTAATTAAATCACTTTATGGACTTAAACAAGCACCTAGGAAATGGAATGAGAAGTTGAGTTCTTCCCTTTCTTCATTTGGTTTTGAACAAAGTATTAATGATTATTCATTATTTGTTAAGTAAAACATGTTATAGTCATTTTGTTGGTTTATGTGGATGATATTATTATCACTGGAAATTGTAAAGATGAATTAGAAAATGTTAAATGTTTTTTAAAATCTCAATTTTTGATAAAAAATTTAGGAGAGTTGAAATATTTTCTTGGAATTGAAGTAATTAGAACAGATCAGGGTATTTGCCTAAATCAAAGGAAATATTGTTTGGAATTGTTACAAGAGTTTGGTATGCTTGCTTGTAAACCTGTTAAAACACCTTTGGAACCTAATCTTGTTATTAAGAAAGATGTGATCTAGATCCTTCTGATTATGTGGTAAATATTACAGAATTTCAAAAATTAATTGGTAACTGATCTATCTAACTGACAAGACCTGATATTTCATATGCTGTGCAAATTTTAAGTCAGTACATGCATAAACCTTATAAATCTCATGTGAATATAGCTTTAAGATTGTTAAGATACTTAAAAGATTGTCCAGGGAAAGGAATTCATATAACAAAAACTGATTCTCTTAGTCTCATTGGTTTTG